ACCCCTATCTACCTCCCCCTCCTTAGCAACCCACTATTTATCCAGTAGACAAGGCTAATAGCCTCACTGATGGGTGATGGGTGGGAGAAGGGGAGCAGAGGAGAGTTAGCTGTGAGCCTGCAAATTTTAACAGCTCTGGCTCTTGCCAACTTCCACCCTCAGAGACCCCTGGCTAAGTATTTCCCTCAAACTGACCTGTAACAATTCGGGATAATTTCCTCCTCTTTTCCTTGCCTCAAGATGTCTGTGAACCCAGATACAAGGACCTGCAGACAGAAAGCAAGGGGGAAGGGAAGGGGCCAACCTAGGGGATTCACCAGCCCCAAAGATAAGATGAACGTTATTATCTTGAATCCGGGATCCTCATAACCATCGTTGCCCAATATTTCCTACCTCTTGGTTCCCCATCAGTTCCTGTGCTTCCTGGATCTCTGTCTCTACCCCCACCCCCCACCCTAACCCTTAGGCCTAGTCCTTGCAATGCCCACAGTTCCCTCCTTCCCCAACCTCTCAGGCTGGCATTGAATGAGCTGAATTCTTTTATATTTATCTCTAAATTTCCTTCAATGGAATTGGAGAGAGAAAGATAAAGATAAAAGGAAAGCTTGCCAATCGGAGAGAAGCTGATTATTTCTAAACTGTCCTTGAATCTCTGGGTGTCTTTCAGGAGACTTCCACCTACTTCAGCCTCCACCCCTCCCTCCTTTCAAAATATGCAGTTATCTCCAATGAGTCTGCAGGAATTTGGGGAAAACCATTAGATTCAGCCATCACCACCCCTGGGAGTCCATCGGGTCCCTCACACCAACCTGTTGGGATTTAAGGAATTTATATCCTCCTCTTGGCCACAAGGACCAACGCCTGCAGGGACGTAAGGAGCTGGTACCCAGAGCAGAAAGAAGCCGGAGAATAGGGGAACTTCACAGCGGCTCGTGGTCACGTGAGGATTACGTCATCCTCCAACTGGTCCCCATCTTCCCCTCCCACCAGCTGTGCTGCAGAAGTGGAACGGCTAATGAACCTCTCCCACCACCACCACCGCACCCCCACCACCACACCAGGCCCTGTCACTCATTTTTGTCATTGTTCATGCCAGAAGTCAAAAGTAGCCTCTTCTTCCTGTGGATAAAATTCGCCTTTCTCTGATTACCAGAGAAGGGTGCATCTTCCCATAGTCATATTAACCTTTGTTACTTTTTTAGTGGCTGTGTTGACAGAAAGGATTAGTCATCCTCTTCTAAGCCACAAAAACAGAAAAGTAATACTCTTCCCTGCACCCCACCCCCCACCAGTCACTAATAGCCATCATTTCCTTTGCAGTTCAAGTCTTGAAACTGTGGATGAAAAGGGGCCACATGCTAACCTGACAAGTTCAGGGGAGTCCTGCATGGTGGCTTTACAAACTCAGAGACCTAAAGTAACCACTTACGATGGTCTGAAATTAAAACTTTTAAACTAAAAGCAGTTCGTGGTGAGTACTCATGTCCTAAAGCAGTATTTTTCCCTAGTAAGGGTCAATCTTCACCTTAATTAAGCCTGTCTGTTGTCTTTTTGCATCTAGGATAACATACCTGATAAACTTGCCTTTGCAATAATAAAGTAAATTTCTTTTTCATGGACTCCTTAAAGCACCGGAGCAGAGACCACAAATCCCCTCATTGGTATCATGTTAATTGTTGACTATTAACTATGCTGTACCCACCTATGTAAAACAAGTGTCTATCATTTTACTTTTATGCAATCCCAGAGGTCTCCCCCACTTTGCTTTCTCCTGCCCCCTAATCTACCACCGGTGGATTTCATGTAACCCACTTGCATCTTCTCTTTTGATTGTAATGTATAAAATAAGGTGTAAAACTGCCATTTTCTGGAGCATTTTCTCAATCTGTTGAGATTTTGCTTCCCGGCAATTGTCAATTTGGCTCAAATAAACTCGTAAAAATTTTCTACATGTTTGAACGTTTCTTACGTTGATATAACAAAACTAGAGCAGGTAGGGTAAATTTAAAAAGTCAATGATTGAGCCTGGCCAGGCATGGCTCAGCGGCTGAGCATCGACCTAGAATCCAGGTGATCAGGGTTCGATTCCCAGTCAGGGCACAGGCCCGGGTTGTGGGCTCGATCAATGACTTTCTCATCAGTGATGTTTCTATCTCTCTCTCTCCCTCTCCTTCCCTCTCCCTGAAATCAATAAAGATATATTAAAAAATAAAAAGTCAATGATTGAGATTTTGCTCCACACCTTTGTTTTGATTAATTCCTATCCTTTTCCATAAACGTATTGTATTCTTTTAATAATCATAAATATAATAGCAATAATCAGAAATACAATCTAATATGTACAGTTGGAAAAAAGACTCAAAATGGGAAGATAAAAAGGCCCAGCCACCTGTTTCTACTGCTGAATCATATGATAAATATAGACCCTCCAGGCAGACACATTTTTTGGAAGTTTGAACTGTACAGAGCAGCTGGACAGGCTACCTTTTTGTAGCACTGCTAGGTAAGTGAAACACTTTTATTAGGTGTGCTACTGAAGCCATAATTCCACAGTACCTTGCCCTTAGATTTTTTTCAGATCTCAAAAGTCAGTCATAAAAATTTACTAGTTCAATCTCAGTATCATGTCCTCTTTTCCAGTTTGTACCATGCCCTTTTAGTTCCTTCAATGGTGTATTCAAAAAATCCTACCTTTCCTCAACACTATTATTCAGAATCAAGTAGTTTTTCATCTCCATTTTATTTATGTTTCCTTAGACCTTATTCAGCTACAATGGGAAATTAAGAGCACTCACAGAAACTAGCCACTTTTAGTCATTTATCACACTAAACATTTTGTTGCTAAAGATTTTGATACTAATCTAAGTGTATTTGTTGCTGTTGATTTGTTAGCTTGAAACAGATGCAACAGAAAGAGGGATGCATTCTTAAAACTTGTTTTTAGGAAGACTGTCGCTCATTATGAATGCAAAGTTGTTGCTAACCAGTTTGATGTAAATGGTTCCAGAAAATACTTTTAAAAAAGGAAGAGGTCTTAAAAAGAATGAAGCACTGTTGTCACAGTTATTAAGGAATGGTTAGTTGTGATAGAGGACAAAGATTTGTTGGTGAGGTGGGGAGCTCCTGAATCCTTTGTGAATATCAATAAGGACCGATATAGCAAGGAAAGGTATTCAACAATTAGAATGTATGACTAAAATTTCTGGTTTTATGTGAGTGTAGATGAGTAGGATGTTCCCTATGCTGTTACTGGAGATATGAAATGGTACAATGATTCTGCAGGCAAATCTAGCACATCTCAGGATTTAACTAAGTAATTAATAAGGAACATGCAAAAAAACAATGGTGTAAGATTGCTCACCAAAATTTTTTATCCTTCAGCAAAAATATATTGAACACTTGATCTTTGCATGAGCTTTGTTGGTGAAAAGCAACCATATTCTAGAAAAGAAAAAGCAACAACTTGAAAATAACCAAAATGTTCACCAATCTCCAATAAAACCTAGTTATTCATGCAATACAATAGCATGTAGCCACTTTAAAAGCTCACATAGATCTAATATATACTGAAGTGAAATGTTGCCAAGATACATTGTTAAGAATAAAAAGAATACAAAATATAAAAAATATATATACCATACTATCCACTATGTTTATCCCTGGATAACGGAATTAGAGAATGATTGATGGGTTCTTATACCTTCAGAGCACAATGAAGGGCAGTCACAGTGCTTTTTTGTATGTCTACTGATATGCGTCAGTTTGGAGGTGGATGGGTAGGTGGGGAGAACACAAACATCAGCTACAAAGACATGCATGGTATTTTCCCTCTAGAGATTTCTGAGAACCTCACCTTTGGTGATTTCCTGTTATATGCCAAGCATACTGCCCAAAGGTAGTGTACTCCAGTGGGCTATCTCATGTGACCTCTTGCCAGCCTATGAGGTAAAGATTGTTTCCTACACTTTACACATGAAGAATCTGATGCTTGTTCATGATTATAGAAGAGTTTATCTCCCTGTGTTCTTTCCTCCCTGCCCATTTGCCTTAATTGTCAGCCATTTCCTGTGGGGCCCATATCTAGGCTTCTTAACAGCTCCTTGATGGTCATGAAAATACATGTTGAATGAGAACCCAAGAGTACCTGAATGTGTGGGGGTTCCTGACACAAGTTGAGATGCAATATTTTAAATTTAATTATATATAGATATTTAAAACAAATATTTAAAGCTGACCATCAGAACCATTTTGAGAATGAGAAAAAGTTGGCAGATGAGCCTTTTATTCTAGGGTAATCACAAATAGATGCCTGCAGCAAAACAGAACCAATAGGAGACTATAGATAGATTTATTTTGAGGAATTAGCTTTTGCAATTATGGAAGCTGGCAAATTCAGACTCTGCAAGGTGGACTGGCAGGTTGAAGACCCAAAAGAGCCAATGTTGCAGCTCAAGTCTGCAGGCCATCTCTTTGGCTTGGGAGAGGTCAGAACATTGCTCTATTCATACTTCCAACTGATTGGATGAGGCCCACCCACATTATAGAGAGCAATCTGTTTTACTCAAAGTCCACCAATTTTAAATGTTAATCACATCCAAAAATACCCTCACAAAAATATCCAGAATAATGTCTCAGTCAATAGTACAGTCTACCTTGGGTAAGGAATAATTAGAAAAAAGAAATGCTGTTGTTGGCTTAATATTTTAATATTAAGGCTTTATTTCTCCTTTAACCAGAGAGCACTTTCTATGTTATCTGGGCTTGCATGAATAGCACTTATAGAGTATGTTTTCTACTACAAAAATTAATTAATTATAAATCAGAAACATACAGTATTTAGAAAAAAATACCAATATTTTAAGTAACACTTGTAAATAATCCATGGGTCAAAAAGGAAATTATGAGGCAAATTAGGAATATTTCAAACTCAATGATAACATATCAAATTTGAGAATGTTGTTAAGACAGTGCTTAGAGGAAAATCTGTAGTTTTAAACACAAACATTAGAAAAGAAGAGAGATTTAAAATCAATTATCTAAATTTCCATCCACAAAAGTTAGAGAAAAAAAGGATATTGTACCCAAAGTAAATAGAAGGAAAGAAATAATAACAATAAAGGCAGAAAACAATGAAACAGAAAACTGATTTTTTTAAAAAACAAAAAAAAAAAATAACAAAGTTGGTTTAATTTTCAAAAATCAAGTAATGCACTTCACTTATTATCAG